AAGAGACAGGAGAGAGAAGAGAGGAGAGAAGAGCAAGGAGAGGAGAGAGAAGAGAAAAGAGACAGGAGAGAGAAGAGAGGAGAGAAGAGAGAGGAGAGGAGAGGAGAGAGAAGAGAAAAGAGACAGGAGAGAGAAGAGAGGAGAGAAGAGAGAGGAGAGGAGAGGAGAGGGAAGAGAAGACGGAAGAGAGGAGATAAAAGAGAAGGGAGAGGAGAGGAGAGGGAAGAGAAGACAGAAGAGAGAAGATAAAAGAGAAGAGAGAGGAGGTGAGAGAGGAGAGCGGATGACCCCGGACCTAAGTCTCCTGATTGGTTTCGCGCGTGGGGTGTTATTATCATTGCGGTGTACGTGTCACGTGTCTGCATTCGGGTTGGTGGATCCTGTCAGGTTCAAGATTTTCTCCCTAGGTGTCGCGCCCCGGATCCAGGCAGCTGCTTGCATGTGTGCATAGGATAAAAATCCTTTCAACAAAATGCCCTTCTCTCGCAAGATCCCATGGTAGACGAAAACCTCTTGGGCCAATGAGCAGACGCAGAATCGCGTGAGTAGCGCTGCAACAAAGCCACGGCTGCGGGGGCAGCCGCTCAGCCAACCTTACCCAAGCCATTCAAGCGTCTGACAAGACGCTAGAGAAGAAGGATCTCCCCATAGCCAGGCAGGGTGCAAGGTAATCTTCTTCAAAGCTTCCATTCCATGAAGTGACAACCACGTTGTGTCCACGCGCTTGGCGGGCAGTGCATCCTTTGTGGATCTTGGCAACGTAAAGCAACACCTCTGACTCTGACAAATGCACTCACTACTGCTCCGGCCTGCGCCTACCAGTGACGGCTAAATCGGCCATCTGGAATTTGGGGTCTGGGCAACGCTGGTGCGCAGGTTCTGCAACACAGATCTTACTGCTTGGGAGAATTTTCGCAAGCACTTTCTTCGCGTCTCTTGCTTGGCACGGTCTGAAAGTGACAGTCAAACCCTAGCAGAGCACCGTTCTGCTATGATTGTCTCGGAAAGTGCCCATCAGGTGGAGGAAGAGCAAGAGGCAGGAGCTGGGGCTGATATGATTGCAGATAATCGGAGCAGCGACATCTTCACAACTACCTCGATCAAACCTGCTGCTCATCCCTGCCAAGAGAGACAGCCATAGGCGAGTGTTTGCAATCCTGACTGAAGCCCTTTTGCCTCGTCGCATAGATCAAGCCGCCAATCCCACCAGCGGATGGACGCTGCTAAAGGCACGAGGATTTTGGCTCAGCTGCACTTCAAGCATGTCCCTGGGCACGTAAGAAGGTCTCCGCGGAACGACAGCGCATCGGCAAAACAAATACTCCTTGTCCGTATTGTGGGGAAACTTCTATACCGGAGTTAATACGCGCACTGGCACGTGTCCAGCTATATGGCCGGCCAGGCTCTGAATTCTTCATCCTCCCGACAGCTTACCTTCCCAGTTTCGTGTTTGGGCGCCATGTCCTAGCCGCAGCCCATGGGCAAGGAATGACGAGGAAGCAGCTATTCTCAGCAGACCTGTGATGGGGCAAGCGCCCTAGAGCAGAGGAGGGAGTGGACAAAGAGAGGTCCACCAAGACATTCGCCTGGGGCTCCGGACCTACAGGGTATCAGGGCAAGAACCAGGGTAAGGGCAAAAGCCGAGATTGGCCCCGGAAGGGCGCCGAGCCTGACAAAGAACTGAGTCCGCAAGATTGCTCAGCTCAGTCTGAGCATGGCAGAATAGATGTGTCACACCTTCAGACAAGTCACACGAGTCTGTTCACCTTCAGGACCGACAAGACGCAAGACACCATGCTTCCCTTCCCTTCTGGCAAATGGAGGCAGATGAGAGAGAAACATCCCGATCAGGTGACCCATCCCTCAGAAACATTATCACGCTCTTCCGGCTAGACGACGCAGCTCGGGCAAAAAAGTTTGAGGAAACACCTTCATCGTAAACGGGGCAGGTGGACAGCTCCTCACTCTCCACCTACGAAACCCCAACCACCTGTGTTACGTTAACCCTGCTGCCATGCTGCTTGCACACGCCTATCATGTTGCTCAGCTTATGGGCCCGGGCACCCTGAGAAGTACACTGCAAGGAATGTAATGTACAACATGTCACAAAGCCCTACGCTACTCACAAGCCTATTGCCCTGGAGAATCTGCTCAAGATGCGGACCTAGTTTCACCGGTGTTCGCAGGGTGGAGCTTTGTTAGTCTGAGCCTGACCTGCTTGGCCATCTAAGGCGGGGTCATTACGGAGATGGCGCGAGATTGGCCGGGACTTAGGCAAGATCTGTCTCCCTGGGGCCGCGAGGGACGCTGCACGTTCAGAGCTGTCAAAGTCAGAAAAAATCTCTCTGTCTCATCTTCAGTGCCCTCCAAATGTGCGCAGCCTGCTTCTTGCCGAATAGCAAGTGTCGACGCACTTTAGCTGATTGATGTTGATTGTAGTTGCACTGCCTTTTTCTGCATCCATGCGTAATTTCACGCTGTCTCCAGCCTCATGGCACTTGCTTTTCAACTTGCAATGCAGCAGGCTCAGTTCCATGCCATAAGCATGGCCACCCTCTAAACAACCATTTTCTCAGGAGATGCAGACGGCAGCTGCATGTGCCCAGAACTATGTCCCGCCGTGCACTGCAATGTACCATGCATGTGGCCGAGTCATGCGCTCATCACGCTTCCTTTTGCATGAGAGCGCACGAAGCAACCGCGTGTAAAGTTACATTCCAAAGAGAAAGAGCTACCAAAGACGGCACTGATCAGGAAGCGACCCAGTGCGTGCAGCATCAGCACGGGAACGTCACTAGTCTTGATTCGACTTCTCCACCTCTGCTCTTCCATGCTCGCCCTGCATTAGATGTGGAATGATGTGAACTCTTCCAATCTCAACTTTCGCTCCCAGCTCCAGTAGCTGCTCTGGAGTCTTGCTTGGATGCCTCCGGAGAATAGCATGTGGCTTCCTAACTGCAGAGATTCTGGAGCACAAGAAGACCGGGATGTAACCACAACATTGTATAAGTTTCATGTTCGACTGGCTGCAACGTTTTATGCGGGAACAGTGCTTCATTGTAAAGTTGCGATGACCGGTTCATGGATGAACTGTGCAGCCTTCCGGTGCCAACGTTACTTGATTAGATCCTCATTGCACAAATCCTGTTGTTGCATGCCGTAGCGGTACACGCTAGGATTCTTGCAGCCTTCCTGTGCCAAACGGTCGCATTGCAGAAGCATCGCCTAAACACATCTCAACATGTCGGAGTCATCCTTGCAAATTGCAATGCGCGGTGAAACACCATGTTGATGCGTTTCATCCTTTGAGCTTACAGCAGTTGGATTTCAAGATGCGCATTGCAATGCAGGCGCGCATTCTATGAAAATGACAACACGCACTTAGTTCTGAGACTTAGCAGCCACTTGAGCTGCCAGTCAATTTGGAACAGCTTGCCGCGCAAGAGTTTGCAGCAGGCAAACATTTCGGGCCGAAGGCCCTGCTTCAAGAGCCAGAGGCATTTGCCCAGGCGCTGCGCAACTAATTCCGAATCTAGCGGTGTTGGTACTCTCCACCAGCACTTCCATACGTGCCAGGACCAGTCAACACACTTGCATAGAGTCACTCCAACTTGGCAAAAGTATGCCGCGTCCAGCCTGAACTGATGGCAAGTCAACGATTCCCAGGCGTTTTCCATTCCGCTCAACAGGCGCTGACAAACTCATAGCACAATAGCATGCAGGCAATGCATGTTTTTCAGCTTGTGACCATTGCCGGGCTCAAGTCGAAGCGGCCTGTGACGGGACGTCATACTGTCGCACCATTGCTGTGAGGAATTCCAGTGCACCTGCAACTTCTTGGCCCTGCTTTTCGCACAAACGCAGGACATCCTCCGCCCACGGGTTTGTGGGATCCTCACATGCAGCTGCAAACCTGCATGGATAGAGTCGGGTTCTAAAACATTGACCAAGGTCCCTGCGAGTGGAAGCGCAGCTCCCTGCAACACATGAAATGATGATCGCCTTATTTGTCAAAGTTCAATTTAAACTCGGGCTGCCCGCCTTTGATGTAGGTGTTGACCACACAGTTGAGGACCTGCCAAACTGGTGCTGAGCTTGCAACAGGATGCGGGAACGCCTGAATGTTGTTCTAGACCTCTGTGTATGAGCAAGTTTTTGAACATGTAGTCTGACCCAATCAGCGCCAGGTTGGCCCAGCGGTAGACAGTGGTGGTGATCGTTCAGCAGTGCGGGCAGGCAAGGGCACGAGCCACCTGCGGTCGCTGCGGGTGCTTTTTAGCTTTGTCTGTCTCAAGTCTTGTGCTGAAGCATCTTTTCGTAGAGCGGAGCTGAGCAATTCACGCTCTCGCTGCATGTTCTGGATTGACCGCAGTGCAGCCATCCTGCATTCCTGCATTCCGATTCTGGGACAGAGCTTCCAGCGCATGCACGTTTACCATCCTGGAGGGTGAGCAGCTTATCAGCCTGCTGGCATCAATGTCCTGGCTGGTTAAAGAGATATACGCCTCGCTTCGTAGGCTGCTCATGTCGCCTGCAGATGAATTGAAACTGGGATGCCGCCCATATGCACTGGCTTTGCAAACCAGCCTGCCATCGTGAGCCCCGTCTCCGTCCCAGCACCATCCCTGAAGGGAGCAAATGCAAACTGCGAGCAACAGCGGTTCATAATGCCCAGTAGAAACTAGGAACCACATCCTTGGCAAGTTCCAACTTCGTCTTTTGACTCCAAAACAAAGGTCTGAATATCATGTCTGATGCCACATAACCTGACCCTCACATTAACTGGAGCGCTTCCAGAATGAAATGCCGCGGCAATCCTTGGCAGAAACAGACCCACTCAGCGCACAGCTCACCCATACACGTTGCACAGATTGAACAGCGCAGTTCATTTTCTCTGAATCTCCCAAGCCCCGGAAGCCCCGGCAGGTTCCGCTGCCTGAGCAACAGGATGCCCAAACGGCAGTGCGGAATCTGTCTGACTCGCTGAGGACCAGCCTTGGTCGCAAAGACACTGACGCACTGACGCAACAGTTTTACACCAAGCAACAGGATGCAGCAGGGATGTCCTGATACAATGATTGTCGAAGGAGCTAGTCCGATGGGCTTCGTACGCCTTTACCTCTTCTTGTGAGCTTCTGGGGTGACATCAAAGCTGCGTATGTAGGGCTGAGGACATTTTCAGGCAACAGTGTCCGAAAATCAGGTTGAACATTTGCTGTAGTGGTTTGGGACTGAGCGATCTTGCCACAGTAAGGAATCCCGAGCCGAATGTGAGGCGAGCACCAATGATGCAGAGACTCTGCCATATAGTCCAAGAGCGGCAACGTTTTGCGATTCGAGTGGATGCTTACAGAAATGCAGCCACATGTGCCTATGGAGAAAAATGTGGCCTCACAATCAGCTGACACCCATTGAAAGGAAGCCAAATCCTTGGCCTTGCATAATTTTGGTCTTCACTCTGGTTGTTGGCCCTTCTTCTTGCTGCTGTGCAGGAAATACAATGTCCTGGCAACCTGGAAATGTCTGCTGCCTTTAAAGCTTAAGAAAGCATGCGATATGGACGCTATCATCTGAGCTCTCACACACGGTCCCGAACAGAAGAAAACAGGAGAACTAAACCCCATCCTAATTTCACACAATAGAACGTGTTACATCTATCTGGGCGGGCCTAGCAAATTTGTGTCTAGATGCAGTGGGAAGATCTACAGCATAAAGCTGCTTCATTCAACTGGTAGCGGGCTCTAAGCTTTTAATCTTCGAGGGCTCCGAAGCTCAAAAATAAACCCAAAGTCCTGCAACACTAGGGCCCATGAGGGGAAAATTAATAATGAATCAGGGGGCCAATATTTATCAATATTGCCATGTGATTCAAAACAAGTTTCAATGGGCTCCGTTGGTCTCTGAGGCTGCCATGGGGCCGCGTGGGATGCAAAGCCTCTCTAAAGTACTACTTCTGGCTACTTGGATGCCTGTGACCTCCC